GGAATAAATAATCTTTCTATTGAAGCACTAGTCTTTATGAGTACACGCATTTCCGATTTCTTTCAGTTGTTCAATGAGTCGAAATTTTCTGAATGTATTAGTTTAATTATGAGAAATTCTCATTTGAAATACTTACTTGTCTTGATGATACACTCATTTGTTTACTTGAATCGAAACTATTTGACCATTCATTGTCTAATAAATGAATTGGACAATTAATGTTTTTTGTTAAATGCTTATTAGCTTCTGGATTGAATAAAAAAGCTCCACTTACTCGTTTCTTTGCTTTATGAAGACCACTAAAATTTAATCATATATAGACATATTTATTCAGTATTAATTAATTTAAAAAAAGGAAAATTTTCAAAACGTTTAAATGCTAAATCTAATAAATTTAGATGACTAGTTGAACGTCAATCTGAATCAATGTCTGAATTTTCAAGTAATGTTTGAATAAATGAAGACTAAAATAAAAATTGTACACTATGAGAATCGCTTTAGCTAACTGATAAAGTTCATTGATTTTATTATTTCTATGATAATGAGTACTATTCGATAATGTTGAAATCAATGATAATGAAGATATGTGTATGACCATCAATAGAACAAAGTATTTCAAATTGTTCAATTTCTTTAATTAGAAAAATTTTATTTGAATAGAAATAGAGATTGTGTCAGTGCAGCTCGTTGAGGACTATAATGTAGAACTCACATGTGTTCTTTAGTCTCATTATACTTCTCCCAAATACTTGAAGTGAAAAATTTCTACCAGATTATAAATGAATACATGAGAAATCAAATTTTACCCGTTTTTGTTTTTGAAGTTAATATGATTTTCATATTTTTTTCATCTTTGACTTTCTTTACTTTTTTCGGATGAGTTTCTTTCACCATTTCCTGTAAAGGGTGTGGGTATGAGTTTTTGTCTAGAGAAAACTACTTCACTGTTGAATCGTATCACATCTAAAAACTTCTTCAATATTCGTTTTCTTTTTATTTATACACCTAAAGTCACACAATATATAACTATATAACCTTTAGTGGCAGTTGAGATAACTGCTTTTCTCATAGTTCTCGATAGAGCTCGTTGAGTATGGGTCTGATCTCTTATAGTTGGTACTCTTAAAGTAAAAGTCTATAATGATCACATTCATAAATGATCACTATCAAGATGCCATGAGAAATGTGAAATAAATTATAATGAAAATATGATGAGTAAGAATTCAGCAAACGTTCAAATTTTTGTGTCGCATGTCTCTAAAACTTACACTTATTCTATTTTTCTTTGAAAAGAAAGACGTAATGTGAGTTCCACAAAAAACAAAAACAATCAATAATTTTATCATCAATTGTTAATGATGATGGATTAATATCAAATAAACTTTGAATATTCCCCAATTGAATAAGTGGAATATATTTTCATACCGAATGCTTTTCACATATATTCAAGACAATCGGAGAAAAGAAAATGAGTTAAATGTAGTTGTATTGTTGTTAATTCTTGTTGAAGTTCAATAACTTGAAATTTTTTTATATAATGATGATGTGCAGCAAGAAACTCTGACTAAAATTTAACGACAACAAAACGTACTTAATACTGTTGGAATCGTTTTCTTACTTGACAATTATCAATAATATGAACAATATAAAACATTGATAAATGTTTTCCCGTTTTTCTACTTTGTTCATTTAATTTTTTTTTTTGCTATTTCACGTAATTTACCCAATGAATCAATTAATAATTGATAATCAATATGTTTTATTGATGTATATTTAAGTAAACGTTGAACAAGTCGTATCATTAAATACAGCTCAATATTGTTCACCTAATTCAATGTTATGTTCACGAATCTATTCGAAATAATTTTTATTTTTTACATTATCTATTCAATGACATAAAATTACCTTAAGAAAACAAAATAAAAGTTATATGAAAAATAATATTGGAATTGATTACAAAAAAATAGTTCATTCGAAAATGAAAGTAACGATCTGTATAGATGAGTTAATGTAATACAAGAAAATTCAACTAGTCCATCACTATTGCAATTAAAATCCAATAGGTGTCCGACTTCGAGCGGATCACAAGAATACAATATGAATGATTAGTTCAGTACAGAGCTGCCAGATCTTCCGAATTTTAGTACTTTTTCTAAACTCTTTCGAATTTTGAATATTTTTTCGTGACCTGTTATTTCTCTAGATTCGAGATTTAATGACTTTGGTTATAACTTCTAATTTAACTTTCATTAGCAATTCATACGCTGTCGTTGTTCTACTGTAATCATTCCGTAATACAATTTTGAGACTATTTATAATGTAAGATCGTTAGAGTTTAGAATCTATCCGAACTAAATGAATATCTTGTATTGTTTAAAAAAATGTCATTTGAATCAATAACTTCTTTGACATGGACTGAGCTTTAAGTTTAGAAAAGTGTTTTTTTACATGTAAATTATCTCTTGTTATCCTGAATTAAATTCAGCCATGAATGATGAAGATGATGATTCAGATGTGAATTTAAGTGAGATTGAAGAAAGAAATAAGTATGTCGGCAACAATTTTTGCACAAAATTTTGATAGAGCAACACATGTGTCCATGAAAAAGGTGATATATATATATTTGACAGTGAAACAACTACTTTCCGAACTTTTTCCCAAGTAGAATATAAAAAATTCTGAATTTTTTCGAATTTTGGTTAAAACATTTCGATTTCTAATTTTTCGATCTGGCAACCCTGGTTTAGTGCAAGAAGAATTCCATAATAGTCTATGAAAATTGAAATGCGTCAAAGGTATCAAATCTTGTTACACTCGATCATTTTTTTCTAATGATTTTATTCGACTGATAAACAAGCAGAAAAAAATTTATGCATTCTTTTTGAAAACTATTGTTTAATTGCTGAGAAGCGAGTTCGTATTCAGACTTTGCTATCGTATCGAACAATCAAATAATGTTTATAGAAAAAGTATACATAGATTTTTTTCTTAAGTACATGACGAGTAAAAATCTTGGAAAAATATCGAGTCTGTTGGTACTTAATCATTTTATGATGTTTTTTTTTGCAAATTTAGTTTTTGCGACAATAACATTGGCCGAGTCTATTAACAACAGAATATTTTCACAAGTAACTCAACAGACGCTACAATTTTCTTTTTAGCTAGTAAAATATATTTCATTGAATAATTATCTTACTTGAATAATATTGTAAAATTAATATTAATTTTCATTCGATTTCTCTTATATTCCATTCCAATTAAATATTAATTATATATGTTAATATTTTGTTCTTTATAACAATATTGTCATCTAATACATACTCATTTTTATTAATATAAAATGTTTCCGAATTTGGTATAGTATTAATCATATGTTGATGGTGAAAATAATAATAATGCAGAAATCTGACGATGTTGTTGTTTAATTATTAGTTAAATTAATTGTACACATGGATTTATTAACATTATCGATTAAACATAAAATTCTCCAAATCACTAAAAACATTATTATATATACATTTTTTAATCTTTTTTCTTTATTGATTAATAGATACTTGTACATGAATGACAAATTGTTGATCTTGATGTGTATAGAATAGATATGTCGATATAAATAAATTTTTATTCAAAAGAATATATCTTATTTCGTTCTTTTCTGTTGTGATAAATCCACCTAACAAAGAAAGATTTTTTCAAACTTCTGTAATAAATTATTTTGATCTAAAATTTTGTTGATATTTAGATATGTTCATTCAAAAAGAATATTATTGTGAAAATTTAAATGCTTAAAAACTTTCATTGTTTTGTTTTTTTCAACGGTCTATGAAATTGAATCAACTTTTTTAACATTAAGTATGTCTACTTAAGTAATAGTTTGTCTGATGTAATATATTTTGTATTTTATCATAGCAAATAAAATAATTATACATAAATGTTGTTATTGATTATTATTAATAAAAATAAACAAAACAATTTCATTTTCATTCCAAATGAGATACAATCTAAAAAAATTCATAAATAAATCATTATATATGTATGTTAATGTTAACAAGAGAGAAAGGAAAGAAAAAAGAGATATATGTGAAGAGAGGAATTTTCTTTTTTGTCTTTCTCTCGTCCATAAGCCATTGTTCATGTTGTTATCATTGACGATCAATGATCAACGTGTACAATTAAATATGTATATCATTTTCGACGAGAGAAAAAAATGATTTTTCAAGGTATATATACGAATGATTTTCTATGTAAAATCATTCAAATTTTTGAATCAAATAATAATAATTTTTCTCTTCTGTTTTAGATTGGCTTCAACCAAACAATTCAACAACAAACCAGACAATAAAATAAAATGTAGGTATCAGTTTTACTTTTTCTTTATTTTTTTTTATTTTATGATCATAAGGATGGTGAGGTAAGGTCTCCTTTGATCTTTTTATTATTTTTTTTTATTTTAGGGAATAAACAATGAAGAAAAGGATAACATTAGGGTAAGTCATCTCATTCTATTTCATTAAATAACATTGATTAAATTTTTTTTCTGTTCCTTTCAGCTATCAATATCATCGCGTCATCAACATCAGACACGGTCAGTAATTCTTTTTTTTTTTTAGATGAGAATAGATAGTGAGATTGAGAGGTTAGGGTGAGACTAAGAAAAGTGAGTGTTAGTGAGAGACGAGGGTGAGTTCTGTTCGTTGAGGGTTAGGGTTTCGTCTCTTATGAAGGACTTCCGGGTAGTCCCTAAAAGCTCTGCCAGGAACTGTCTTGGTATCCGTGGCACACGACCAAGCTTATTCAGACTCATTGACATATTTCTCGCGGGGAGGGTATGAATGATATAAGTCTGTCCTGTGCGTGCATGAGCGTTACGCTCGCCACGGCTCCACCAGGATGGTTCCTGATCGCGCGCGCGCGAATAGAGTAAGCCATTCATTTCATCAATTCAATGTGATTTATTTGAAAGGAAAGGAACGCAAAAACAATAATCCATCGTTTTGAGTTTATTCAATTGAAAAGCGTTGAACAGGATTATTGCCGAGGAAGCCACCATCGACGACATAGAGATTGCTATGTCGATCGAAGGACAAACCCATGGGATTGGTGAACTGATTTGCTCCTTCTCCGTAACCATTTCCACCCACAATGACAGTGCCCTGTTTCGCTCCTTTAGGCCAACGCATCACTCGAGAATTGCCATAATCTGCCACATAGATGGTACCCAATGTATCGACGAATAGTCCTTCAGGATTCGACAATTGTGTCAGAGCATTCCCGTAGCCTTGACCTCCAGCGACGACAATTCCTTCTTTTGCACCTTTATTCCATTTCATTACACGATTATTGTCTTTGTCTGACACGTAGACAGTCTGTTGTTGATCGACAAAGATGTAGGTCGGCACGTTGAGTTGATTGAGACCAGTACCTTTGGCATTGCCACCAGCCACAAGAGTTCCATTCTTGTCTCCTATTTGATATCGTTTTACTTGATGTTTGTCGTAGTCAGAGATGTAAAGATATCTCTGATCATCCATGGTCAATCTTTCACAAGCGATGTTGTCGATGAGGATTTCTCCTTGAGTTGTCCCACTACGACGAGACCATCGAACGACTCGTCGATTCTCCAAATCACAAATAATGAGACTATCCGTCTCTTTGTCGATCAATACATCAGTTGGTCGATCCAATTGATCCAATCGATTTCCTTGGCCATTGCCACCAGCTACTACTTGTCCATTCGTATCACCTATCTTCCATTGAATGATACGATTATTGCCGATGTCAGCAATGACTATCGTTTGATCATCATCAACAACGAAGATTCCGGAAGGCCCGTTGAGTTGATTGGTGTCACTACCCTCTCCATGGTCTCCAGCAACAGTCACTCCATTCTGTGCCCATCGGGCATCGGCTGGAATAATGGGAATTACTACAATGAACAAAAAAAAAAGAAATCGTCGTTGTCGAAGGGATCTCGTCTCTCGTGGGAGCAAGCGCTAGAAATACGACATACGTCTTTGAGAATGCTCATTCCACAGATAAAAATTCAGAAGTCTTTTCCTAGTTTCTTATGAGAAAAAAAGGGTTTGGTAACGATCCTTACATCTATGTTACTTCTAGTTTTTGCTAAGATCTTTTTGATCATAAAAATAACACCTGGAGATTGTTGTAAGGAGGTTCTCAAAGAAAGAGTAATACAAAGTCCATGTAAGTTTTTTATAGAAAAACATAAGGATCTGAGGATTTTTTTCAGAATTGCAAGAATTCAGAATCTTTTTGGCAGAATGATCATTTATATGAACATCAGAGAAGATTCTATCTGTATCTTATGAGAAGAATATCTAATCGTTGAACAACAAAATATCAAACTTAATCCCTATATTTCTTAGGAAACCATAAGGATACATGATTTTCTGTATGATGAATGTAGATCTGCTGAAGAATCTCCTAAGTATTTGCATAGGCTTTTGGTAAGTTATGTGAAGCTGTTCGAAGAACAACCGTGATGTACTCTGAGTAAGATCATGAGAAGGTTTGGATACAGGCGAAATTGAACAAAGTTGAGAGGATTCCACGCGAATCTATGTAATCTGAGAGGGCTTCTACTTTTGCAAATGCTGAAAAGATGGATGTCAATCCGAACGGAGTTCTCCAGTGACAAACATTGGGATCTATGGATTTTATGGGCTTTGGAAAGAAAGTGTTCTAAAATGCTATTTTTAACTTTTGATGAGCACCATCTTCAAACCATTGTATTAGGGTCCTCGAAGGGAATCTTGATGACTAAATAAGATACTCTGTCAAAATCTGAAAATCTAAAAATAATGAGTATCTTCTATGAGGATCATGTTATAATCCTTATGTAGTACTTGTTCTGAGAAGTCTTCTGTAAGCTCGCATGTTATGGATATGTTCAGGAGGATTTGAAGAGTAAGTATTTTGAAATGGTTGATATCAGAGATGGGCAATTCCAACTCCAAAGTTGATGCTTTTTCTCATCAGAGTGAAAATGGAGTAGGAACAGGACAGATTGAAGGTGCCTATCTTTAAATTTTATGAGAAAGTTTATAAAGCAATAAAATAATATGCTACTAATTTATATCAATCGTAGATTTAATTATGTTCAAAAACTTATGTGTATTTAAGAGTGTTTTGGCAGAAGTTCAGTTTTGTAAAATCCGACTCGAATTGAAGTTAAATTGAAGTTGGAGTAGGATTTTAGAAAATAGGACTGGAGTTATGTGGAGTTGGAGAGAGATAGAGTGTAGTTGTTCATCTTTGCTTAGTAGACAAATGTCGATCATAATCAGTACTCAGGACAACTTCTCCGGAATATTAAGGAATTACTACAATGAACGATAAAGAAAAGAGATAGTCATTATCGAAGAGATTTTTGTCTCTCATACACGAGAAAGTACTATAAATGAGACAGTGTTTCTGTAACGTAGTCTTTAAAAAAAAGCACATCGTAAGGAAATGCTTTCGATGTCGAGGAAGAGAAAACTGCTTAACCTGAAGTTCTAAGGAGATTTCTATGTTGTAGTTTAGTATTAGAATTTGAAAAGGAAATCTTATGATTCTTTCAGCGATATTCAGCTCATTTTCGTATGATATAGAATGTTCGAAAGAAGAAAAAAAATGATGAAATGTAATATCAAGATGCTTAAAGTCGTGTGCACTTTAAGTTTTTCATGATAGAGGTTGAAAAACGATCTCTGTAAAACATTAATTATGATTTGTGTCTAAGCCGCTCTTTTAATTGTATGACTTTTTTTTTTATATAAAAGTCAATCCTTTTTTCAATTAAGCATAAACTATCATTCATCAGCCATGTTTGATACTTGTGATACAATATCATCTGAATACATTAAGTAGTTTTATTAGACTAAAAAGACTTTCAATAAAATGATGAAAACTCGTTATAGTTTTATCAAAAACTTTTTTTGATTTTTTCCAAATTCTAAATTGTTTTTAGATCTGTTTTCTTAGTAACGAAAAGAAATTATTATCATACTTAAACATATTTGTTAAAGCAATAATGAAAATACGAACAATAATATCGAATCGATATAATATAGCTTACAAATTCTTTCGTAGAATTTCTTAACCTACATGATATAAATATATTTAGTTTGTTTTTCGATGATTTTCTGAATGACATTCGAATCTACTATTATCATAATAATATAATAGTAAATAATTTCTAATATCGAAAAAAAATATCATTTTTTTCTCGCTAGAAATTCTAGAAGTTATGAAAAGAGTCTATGAGCGGATATTTATTTAATCAAGTTTATTAATTTGAAGCAAAAAAATTCTCGAAAATGACCTCAAGTAAAAAAAGAGATGTTCCTAGATTTTTTAAAATGTTTATAAGATATGCAATCTACTCACGAGGGAACCCCACCAACTGATTAAAAGCTTTCTGACTCATATTTACACCATAAGTAGTGCTTAGTGAGACTAGATGAATCCTAAAAGGATTTTCTTGAATGGGCCTATTTGGCTAAGATATGAACATTTCAAGTTTAAGGACGAAAATGTAGGGAGATTGTCTGTTGTCCATAAATTACAATGCTAACATATATCAATATATACTTTTTTGTTGAAATACTCATCGATAAATCGTGGAGCTGTTGAAAAAATTATGCTATGATGTTTATTTGATGATATAGCTGCTACATAAAAGAAACACCAAGATGGTAGCGAAGAGTCATGCAATCAATCGCCTTTCATCACGTGTAGTGGGTGTTGAAAAGATCTATATTTTGATCCTTTTTTCGTTGGTTATCACACTCACTAAACTATTACGTACAAACAGCTAACAACTCGTGTTTCAGTTGTCCTAACGATTTTAGTATTTGTTTTAACTTTTCTATCTATTACACCAGCGAATAAAAAGATTTCAGGCATGTCTACACCACTCTCAGGATGATTTCGGAGAAATGCGTAAAACACTTCAATCTATAAGTATTTTGAAAAGTAATTTTTCTTTTGACACATTAACATTATAATTCATGCACAACGATCAATCTATCTACATTTTCATTCCTAAACTTGAAATGTTCATATCTTAGCCAAATAGGCCCATTCAAGGAAATCCTTTTAGGATTCATCTAGTCTCACTAAGCACTACTTATGATGTAAATATGAGTCAGAAAGCTTTTAATCAGTTGGTGGGGTTCCCTCGTTAGCAAATTTTATACTAGAGCATTAAAATCAGTTTCGATTCAAACTATAGGAAAATTTTAGAGAAGTCATTTTTACTGTCTGCACACGAAACATTAGTCTAATTGAACTCGTTCTAGTACAATACGAAAACCTTTTTAGTTTCAAACCTCATAAAATAAATGCATATCAAAACACATAATACACTGATACCCGATTATTAGCTATGGTACTTCAAAAACTCTGTACACCCAAAAATGTTTCATATATGAATCTAATGCAAACGTTGAGATTATTAAGCAAGAGGAAAACTATGTTCTTAATTAATTCGGCTCAGTTCCATGAAATAGTAGTATGTACGCATCCTGTCGTTTAGCTCTATTTATAACAAAATATGTCTTTTTATTATATTTTGTGTCTCAGGTAGTGTTCCACAAGATTGACTTTTTTCGATTACTATTTCCCATTCCCGTGGGTCTTAATGATTTCAGAATTCCTATTGCGATTTCATTTGTCGTGCTTCAGAAAAACTATCATTACCGAACACTAGGTTCTATGAACGTCTCACTTTGCATAACATGTGATGACGTTAAATTAAAAATAAACTTATCAATGGAGGTACATTATAGTAAAATAAATCTATTACTATTTATACGTCGAAATTCATCAATGTTAAGCTGAGAGAATTGTTTTCTTTATCAGTTCAACAATT